CATACATACATGGTTGAAAATGTATGTGCAGCCCAATTATGATGAGTGCGGGAGAATTGGAAAGTGGGAACGCGGGAGAGCCAGCAAAGTTGATCAGACAAAGGTACCGTGAAGCCGCGGAAATCATCAGGAAGGGCAACATGTGCTGTCTGTTCATCAACGATCTCGACGCCGGAGCCGGAAGAATGGGCGGGACTACACAGTACACCGTCAACAACCAGATGGTGAACGCCACACTGATGAACATCGCCGACAACCCCACCAACGTCCAGCTCCCCGGCATGTACAACAAGCAGGAGAACGCCAGAGTCCCCATCATCGTCACCGGTAACGACTTCTCCACCCTCTACGCCCCTCTCATCCGTGACGGCCGTATGGAGAAGTTCTACTGGGCACCCACCAGGGACGACCGCGTCGGCGTCTGCAAGGGTATTTTCAGAACCGACGGCGTCCCTGATGAGCACATTGTCAAGCTTGTTGACACTTTCCCCGGCCAATCTATTGGTAAGTAAATCATTAAAACACCTTTTCAGTTTGAGTCATCACCTAATTGAAGCATGTGATAGTTGGATTTGCACATGATCAGGCTGATACCAAATTGAAGCATGTGATAGTTGGATTGCACTATGAAACTGTTAATTTGGTAACTACAAAGTTATAAGTTCAACGTTCAGCTAGAGTAACCTATTGACGTTCTTGATTTGAGTGCAGATTTCTTCGGGGCACTGAGGGCGAGAGTGTACGACGATGAAGTGAGGAAGTTTGTGGTGGGGCTGGGAGTTGAGAAGGTGAACGAGAGGCTTCTGAACTCGAGGGAAGGGGCGCCGGTGTTTGCCCAGCCAAAGATGACCATTGAGAAGCTGTTGGAGTATGGAAACATGCTTGTTCAAGAACAGGAGAATGTGAAGAGAGTCCAGCTTGCCGACAAGTACCTCAAAGAGGCTGCCCTTGGTGACGCAAACGCAGATGCCATTAACACTGGAACCTTCTGATCTGATCGATGATGATGATGATGATGATGGAATCATATTATTGGAGCTGATGATGAGCTGCTCCGATCCTTAAGTTTTAAGTGCATTTTATGTTGCTTTTGTATAGGCTGTCGTCAATTTTGTATTCCATATTCAGTGAATACAAGAGCGTAATGTTTTTTGCATCTGTTTCAAGTTTACCCTTCTTTCAAATAAAATTTGGATGAATTTACTGAGAAACCATATATCACAATACTAGCTGCTAAAGAAGCAATTTACTGAGATAATTTCATTCTGAGTAACAAACATGGAAGAGCTGAGGATACATATATATATATATATATATATATATATATATATATAGTTGAGCATTAATATATTATATTAACCAAGTTTAGGGGAACGGGCAACTTTGCCGGATGTATCTACGAAGATCCTCACTCGATCTAGACGATGATCCATGGTAACAAAGGAGTTTGGAGGAACCACCTGGACGCTAATCATCGGACTCTGTTCCTTAATCTTCTTCTCCGCTTCTTCTGGTGTCCGCCCCACCAACTCCGGCCATGATGTTTTCTCGCCTAAACTCCCATCAATTCCTTCAAAAACAAACAAACATGATTTCCGTTAGTTTCATCAAAAATATAATGTCGAACAAGAAGCTAAGAGACGAGGTGGAACTGAACTCTTACCAGACTGGTTAGTTGCTTCATCTTCGAGCTTCTTGGGTTGACTGATCTCCTCCTGCTCAGACATGGTGGGTGGGTTGATCGAGTTTTCAAGAAAAGTGGCAGTGATTTCTAGAACTGGATGGGTACTGGGTAGTTTAATTTTCTGATCTGTTGGGTGTTGTAATATAGAGATGATGAATGGGGCATATACGTTAGTGCAAGGAATCCCTAGGATGTTTTCCTAGGGGTTTTATTGGGCAAACAAAGTGTGGCATTGCCGGCCAAAGTCGCATCTGGGAGTATTCAATTCAATGCACTGCAAATGTTGTTACTGACAGCCCAACTACCCACCATTAAATTGGATTAAATTATTTCTCTTTTACTTCTCTGAGTAACTTCTTCCTCCAAAAAGTTGAATCACTAATTTCAAGAGGTTCTCACAAGGCCACACTCTAACGGACAGAATATTTAGGAAGATGTCAATCACGGTGACTCACAGGACCAAATACTAATGCTCACAATCTCTTAGTAACTTCTTTAGTTAGGAAACTTTACTTTAATTTGTCATTGTTGGCATAGCACCTTAACTGGCTTTGCGATACGCTCGCATGGGTAGCTCAACTAGTCATAGAGGTGAAACTATGGAAGAATGACCAGGATTGAGTCTCACCAGCTCAAAGTGAGGGGACTCCTTGTGCGCAGTGAACACCGGTCTAGCTTCTGTGGTTCATGTTCAGTTGAGTCACCATGATTTGTGGAGCCGGGGTGTAGAGGGCCCTTAGGGTTGGGATTCAACTTTTTGGAAGAACGACTTTGGGATGACCTAACCATCGTCCCTATCTCCCTTTCTTCAACTACTACCATTGATCAAAATCAAATTGGAACTTAACAAATATTAAAACTAAATATTTTGATTTTTTGAATTTAATTTCGATTTAGTTCAAATTTAGGTAGGTTTGGCTTGTTAATTCTGGTTCCCACCTAAGGATAAATCAGTTGATAATTGTGTCTTGGGAGGTTAATAATCAACTTTTTTTTTTTTTTTTGTATATAAAATTGTATTTTTATGTGATTTATCACTGAACTATGTATATATTTGAAAATTTGGGTTACGTACCTCCCATCATTTAGTTGCATAACACATAAGGTATGTACTAGAGTCGAAAGCTCCAAAAAGAAGATAGTGATGAAGTAAACACTGCTTGTTACATATCACTCATCTTCAATTCCATGACAACCACAACTTGGACAAATAGAGAAATTTGAGTTGTCTTGTCTATTATATTGATTTACTTGTGATTTTAACATCTATTTATTTAGTATAAGAAAATATAACATTCCAAAATATTAGTATGGGAGGATCATATCTGTACTCTAGTTTATGCTAGTCTTTTATATGACAAATTATGATATACAACTGTGTGCACCATGGATCCATAATTTTTATACTATAGATTCATAATTATTGAACTCTATATTCACAATTACAAAACTCTATGTTCATAATTTTCAATGTTCATGTTCCCAATTGTTGAACTCTGTATTTACAAATCACTGAACTATATGTTCATAATTTGATAACTATACAGTTTAGAAATTATGAATCTATGTTATAATAATATTATTATTATAATTGTTAAACCAAGGCTTAATTAGTTTGTTAGAAAATAATTAATAAGTGGGCAGCATGGCTTTGCACTTCGTAGAGTGTGAAGCACTTTATGAAGACATGGAGTATTTCATGGGCATAGCATGAAGCAGTAAATGGAGTCATGATGTATTACATAGGCTTAATTTTAGGATTTAGTTTCTTTCATTCCCTATAAATAGTTGGCAAATGTATGCTAAAGTCGTCAAGCAAAAAAACATTGTATTCTATTCCTATCCCTTTCTTCCTCTCAAGTATATATACATATATATACGTATATAGATATATTATATATAATATATTTATCTTATATAGATATATTATTATTTAATATATCTTACAATCTATAATATAGAAATTATGAATCTATAGTATAAAAAATTATGGATTTATAGTATAGAAATTTTGAATCTAATTTTGTGTGCACTTTACATTGTGCACACGATTGCACAACATAACGCTCCCTTTTATATTATGTTTACATCATTTCGTATTCTGCTCAGACTGTCAGTTAAAGGTGGTTGAGCTGGTAAGTTTATTTTGAAGATAATTAATGTACAAACATATTATTTATTAAATATTACTATTATTTGAGTCTAAATCATTATTATATTTTAATTTAGTTATATTCAAGTATTTTAGACCTAAATTAAATTACCAGCTATCTTCCTAACTACTTTCGGGCCAATAACGCATTTACTAAGGCTCAAACTCACAACCTCCCATATAAGAGTCCAATTCGAGTGTCATTAGACGGCAAATTATGCCCTGGACCCGTGTCCACAATTCATTGTGAAATTGTGGACACGAGTCCAAAACGACGTCGTTTTTAAGAAAAATGCGTCATTTCAGTTATAAAAAAAAAAAAAAAAATTGATTTTGTCTCGTCGTTAACGGCGTTATTCGTTTGTGCCATTATTAATGTACAGTTATGTGATTATGAATGTACAGTTATGGCATTATGAATGTACAATTATGACATTATGAATGTAAGTTATAAAATTATAAATACAGAATTCTGACATTATTAACTTACAATTATGAACAAATAGTGATAAAATTATGAACATAAAGCTCTAAAATTGTGAACATGGAGCTTCGAAAATTATGATTTTACAGTTATTGAATTATGAATGTACAGTTACGGAATTATGAATGTACAGTTATGCAATTATGAATATACAGTTATGGAATTATGAACACAGAGCTCTGACATTATGAACTTACAATATGAACATATAGTGATAAAATTATGAATATAGAGCTCTAAAATTGTGAACATAGAACTTCAAAAATTATGAAGTTATAGTTATTGAATTAGGAATGTACAGTTACGGAATTATGAATGTACAATTGTGAAAGTATGAATGTACAGTTATTGAATTATGAACAAAGAGCTATGACATTATGAACTTACAATTATGAGCATATAGTAATAAAATTATGAACATATACTCCTATAACAAATCTGAAATAAAAAAAAAAAATAGGGGCACTGTTACCCGTGTCCAGCATGCATGCTGGACACGGGTCCGGGGCATAACGATGGGTCATTAGACCACAATGTCTTGACTTATTATTATTATTTAATTCGTCTAAAAAACAATTTCAAATTTTAAAACAGAAGCCTATTTTCTTAAAATGAGTGGAAAATATTTATGTTTTTACATATGTAACTATATTTATTTAATCAAACTCAAAAATGGGAAGGATGTTAAATAATGACCGGTTCGCGTTAGACCGCTAAACGGACCATTACTTTCTCTTCTTTCTCCTTCGATTCGAAGTTGGAACGCGATTCGGGGTTTCCGGGAATTAGATATCGCGAGCTGAAAATGCCAGTGAGAGTTGTGGAGACTTCATCGTCTTCATCAACACCTTCCCCATATTCAGGTATCCAATTTTTAGGTTTTCTCGCTGCTGGGGCTGGGTTTAATTTTTATTTTTATTTTTATTTTTATTTTGCATATCTGCTGGGTTCTTGTGCTTTTTAAATCAGTTTTCAATGAATTCATAAATAAAGCTAATTTTCAATTTTATAGCATGATTTTTAATTTCTTTTAGTATGCGAACTGGACTGTGATTTCATTATGATCTGTATTTATTTATTTATTTATTTATTTTGATTGCGGTTAAATTTGTGAACCTGTGGTTTTAGTACTCATGTTTTTTGTTTCAACTGTAAAGGTGGGACTCAAGGTAACACTTTGCCTCAACCTTGCACTCTTCTAAGTGTTGGACAGGTGAGCTCCTCCATTCTTTCCTCATCTGCTTTCTTGCTTGCTTGTATCACTTGCAATTGCTACAAGTGTTTGTGTTTATGTTTGAATGACACTGATAATAAATGCATCTCTTTTGTTTTCTATGTCATCTGATGATACATCTTAAAATTAGCTTCATCACTGCTACTATGAAGTGGTATAAACATGATGATCACTCTACTTTGGATGTTGCCCAATAGGAAGTGATTAAGTGAAGTTGGCCCTTGATGTTTTCATTTTTGTAAATGATTTGGGGCTGAAGGGTGGGGAGTGATGTGAGGATTGTGAGCCTTGTTTCTGTGGGAAAACTGGCCTCCTTTATCAAAATCTTGCTCTTACTCATCAGTCACCTATTGAATGAAAACGTTAAAGAGGTTCACTTATATCCTCCCTCTTTTTATGTGCACGTCCAAGTGTGTCTCAGACGCTAAGAGATTGATAAGTGCTGCCAATAATACCTTCTGTGTCTCAGGGATGGCTACTAAAAAGCACTTTCAACTTTAGAGCTAAATGAATTTTTTTTTCTCCTCATTCAACTCCGTAATTCGATGTGTAATTGCATGGTTAGATGGCGTCATCAGGTTGCTGTTGTTTTTCGTTTTTCTCTTTTGCCTTTTCTTTTTCCTCACAGCATTTCTGCTTACAGGCATTCTCTGGGACGCAGAATGTCTCAAGTCTCCAAAAGGATGAAGCATGGAGAGTGAATGTTCGAATTCAAGGTTGTGACCTTGACCATGGATATCTATGTGGCACCATGGAGGCCCTGAATGTTCCTATGGCAGACACACCGGTGAGCAGTTTCACTAGGATTAACCGTATCTCTTTGCTTTAAATCTGAAGAATGGACTTCTTCTTTTCTTTTCTGTATTATAATGTGTAGATGAATATGTTCACCCGACAACAATCAGATGCTTCTTCTTCTCACTGTATATAACAAAGACCTATAGTTTTTCAGTAGTATAATCTACCACTTAGAGTCAACACCTTAGCTCAGAAATAGTGTTTTCCTGATTTTTGAATTATTTTTTAATTTTTCTGTATTGTCTCAAACTAAGAATGCTTCATGGAAGGACTTCTAATTTCTTCTGGGAAGTTGTACAAAATTACATAGAATTAATTGATACATGACTGTTCAATGAATAACTGAATACTCCGTATTTAACAAAGAATAGTCCTTAGCAGTTTGCATTCAGAAATAGTCTTTAGCTGCAAGTTGATTGATTGGATGCATCTTTTGTACTTATCTTCATAGGATGTTATTGTAACTATAATATATATGGATGACTTTATATACTCTCTTGTCTATGACTGCATAAAAGCAAAATTTATCTCTTGTAAGGTAGTATTTATTTAAATGAATTTCTAGGACCAAAATCTCCATATCTAGTCTAACATAACTTACTTTCTCATTTCACTCAGGTGGTAACCTTCTGGGAAGGGGAAATTGTTGATACTAAGAATTATACTTTCTTCACTGACAAATGGGGGGCAACGTATGCTCTTATCCTTTCTTTTTTATTTTTGCAAGTATCTATTGTTGGTTACTGGTGGCTTGAGTAATTTATTGATTCAAAATGGAAAATATTCATACTTTTGATGGTTGTCTATTATGAACAGAACAGAAGATGATATAAAGCACTGGACCAAGTTTCCATCTTTTTCACCCCTTCTGGTAAGCATTCTAAGCTCTTGTGGATAGGGAATTAAAGAGGATTCTTTTTAAACAAAAAATAACAAAATAATCTGTTTCCTCTATTCAGAGCCTGGTGGAAATTGACGGTGGTAAATCGCTGGACCTGAGTAGTTACCCACACATATTCATGGTAATCTGCTTTACTTGGCTTTTGTTTGTTAGTGCAAGAGCTTCACTCTTTACCCATGATTTGTTATAAAGTTCTGATTTGGCCGTGCAGAGATGGAAAGAACAATACTTTGTGAATGTTGGAACCGACTGCGGGTTGACAATAGCTGGTTTTTACTATGTTTGCTTCTCCTGTAATGATGGCTCCATTAATGGCTTCTATTATGATCCCAATAGCAGGTATCCATGTTCTCACAATCTGCAATTCTCATTCATGGTTTAAACACTTAATTATAAATTGTCCATGGACATTGGACAGAGCATATGGATTATGAACTTTTTTTTTTTTTTGGGTGACGAGGGAAACCCGCAGCCACTACTCGAGAGTGTGCACTGGGTAATCTCGCCTCGTGACACTAGTCGGCAAAAGACCACAAGAAAGCAAACCAGCCTAGGTTGCCCATAGTTGACCGGCTCAAACCAAGAAGACCAATAGACCACTCCCGTTGGGAGTCGAACTTGTAACCTTGTAGTTACCAAGTTAACAGTTTGACCAACTTGGCTGGGGTTGTCCCGGACTATGGACTTTCTATGCTTTGAAATCACAGATTATATCGTGTTCTCACAACAGTATAATTAAATCTCTCTTGCAGCCCTTTTCAGAAGTTGGAACTAAAATCCACAAACGACGGAAGATCAGGGTTCAGTTTCTCATCATATGAGTTGCAATGAATCCATCACCACTACAGTTTGTCAAATGATTGGCACCAATGAATACTAGCACAGGTCATTTTAGATCAACAATACATATCTATCCCGGTTCTTCGGGTATGCTTTTTATGAATTGAGCTTTTGGTCTTAAGCGCCCGAGGCAAGATGAAATACCACCAGGAACTGATCTGATGTTTCATTCCACAGGAAGAGTATTTGATTGTGATACCGATGGACTATATGAGACTATCCCTAGTCACTAAGTATATTCTTGCACTTAATTAGATACAGTAATAGCTTATTGTTCAGGCAATTTTGGCTAGTTTAAACTCAGTCTCTATTTCTGAATCAATCTGTGTCTTTGTATTACCGATTCTTTTTCACATAATAACAATTATTGTGTGTTTTAATGTGTAAACCATGTGGAATCTGCGACTTATATAAATAGATATTGTGCGTACCTCATAGTAATGTTTGTTATGGAGGCTCAATTTTTTCTTCTTTAGACTGATACGGATAGTTTAAGATTTATTTCTAATTTTGGAAAAGAGTAAAATACATTCTCGAACTTTCCGCAATTAACTAGTTCAATTTATTTAAATTAGTCAAATAAGTTGAATTTATAGGTAACCCGTCATTGTTGACCGCCGTTAATTGCCATTGACCGTTATTGTCGAAACACTAGGCCATTAATTAGGTTTTGATGCACTAAAATGATATGTTAACGTGTTTAATTGCACATTCAAAAGTTTCGAGATACTCCGTATAATTTTGCATTTTCGTGTAAAATTCAAGTGTGTTTTTAACCCTTTTTCCTTTCTATTTTTTATTTTTTAACTATTGCTTGTATTGAAAGATGAATGATGGTCTATCGAACTCCCTCTCGTATGAAAATATCAATCTAACTAGCATTTTAATTAGGTTTACTCTGTACAAATGGAGATTGCGTTGATTAATAAAAATTAAAGCTCTTAACTAAAGGGACTAAAGAACACGCTCGCTCAGATTATTATTAAAGAAATAAATAAACTGATAATTTTAAGGCATATATTTACCTCTTCACAAAGGTCGTGTCTTCTCTGTTGTACAATGTACTTTACCGCAATGAACTACTCCGATCCAACTATATATTTTACTGTTTTCCCTACTCCACGTACTTCCCCATGCATGCATGGACGACAGTTTGCTGTGCGACGAAGTTTTGGATTTCAGTGCCCTGAGCGCTGCCGCCTCGCCGCCGCCAGCAGCGGCGGAGCAACGGCCTAGGTTCGTCTGCTCTACGGCGGCCGCCGCCAGAAATGACTTTGAAGAGGCCGTTGGGTTCCTTGTGGAGAAGGAGATGCGTTACATGCCCAAACCGGGTTATGTGAACCACCTTCAATCCAACACTTTGATTTACCATGCTAGGTATAAAGCTATTAGGTGGATCATTCAGGTACGCCTTTTGACTTTTCATGTCATTTTGATGGGTTCAATTTTAAAATTTTAATTTTTTTAGGCTCAAAAGAGGTTGAATAATGTATCCCTGGAAAGTGTATTTTATGCTGCGAATTACCTTGATCGCTTCATCTCATTGGACAAATGCCAAGTATGCGGTATTATGTCTAGCTTCTTTTTTTCTTTTTTTTTTTTTTTTTTTTAAATGTTTTTAATTGTAATTTTTCTAACTTTACAAATTGGGTGGTATGTATATATATATACAGGGATGGAGTTGTTGTACGTTTGACTTGCTCTCACTTGCATGCTTGTACGTGGCTTCAAAGTTCAATGAAACAAACCCTCCTTCTCTGCCTGCATTACAGGTCATTCAGTTCATTTTTTAGGTCGTAATAATAAGGGCTTGAAAATGTGTTTTGGGTAAATATAATTCAGCTTCTTTTACATAAATCACTACTGGGAATTATGGAATTTTCGACCACATGAAAATGATCTTAAATCAAGCACTTTTGGTATCTGGAAAAACCTTTGTTGCTATTTTCGACCCCTTTTTACTCTCGACTTGATTTAAGATTACTTTCAGGTGGTCGGAAATTCCATAATTTCCAGTAGTGAATCATAGATCGCACTAGAAAAATTTGATAGGGGCAGGGCCTGGGTTTGCATGCATTTTTAATTTGTTTCTATGAAAGTGCAATATAATGATGATTATTGGAATTGAATAAAATTGAAATATGATAGATGGAGGGTGTAGGGCATCCCCCATTTGGATCTAACATGATCGTTCAGATGGAGATGAAGCTTCTGCAAGCTCTGGAATGGAAACTGTTGTCCACAACTACTTACTCTTACCTGCAACTCACCATGGAAACCCTACAAGATGAGTTCAACACACGCGCTACCCACATGCTCCTTCAAACACTTTTAGGTACTCTTTTTCTCATTCCTATGCCATATTAAGTCAAATTGCATTTTTTTAAAATCCAAAAAATGCTTCAAATGCAAATACTTTAATGGGTCGATTGCATACTTTTTAAGTTCAATGACTCAATTGCATAAAAGCAATTAATTCAGTGGTCTATTTGATACTCACTTGATTAGTCTCATTTTATACTGAAATTATTAATATACAAAATTTATATATTTAGAAACTATAATAAAAGTAGTATTCTTGATGGCAGATCCAAAATTTGTAGAGTTCCGGCCTAGTTTGGTGGCAGAATCCGTAGTCCGGTTCACCCTGGATCCCCAGGAGAAGGACAAGCAGTATTTCAGCGCTCTCATTCCTCAAGTTGAAAAGGTCTTTAATATAATTATCTTTCTGGAAATTATATTAAATGCTGAGCAGTAAGTGTTTAAAGATTGAAATCTTAATTAATTACGTGTTGTTTGGCAGGATGATATAATGAAGAAGATCCATGAGATGATGGAGAAGGGAGAAGAAGAAGAAGAAGAAGCGGAGACATGGGAGAAGAAGGAAGAAGATGAGCAGTATTATTGTTGCAGTGGTGATTGTCCAACCTTGAAACTTGAAGACTTGAACATTATTGATGATGGATCAACCAGAAAGAGGAAGAGATGAAAGAGGAAGAGATGATGCTACTGCTACTGCTTTTCATATTATATTTTCTGAAATGTTAAGGATAATATTTGATGTGTTTAATTTGTTCATGTTGTTGTAAAACTATTATATACAGTACTGTGATACTATTGGGTATATATATATATATATACCCAGGCCAACATTATTATGGCACCATAGAAAACATATATTCTTCTTACATTTGTAATAAAAACATATTTTTCATTTGTTTTATTTTCAATAGTCCACTTTATTCATTTTAGAATTATTTTTACATTTTAGTTATTTTCTATTGGATACGAAGTTGTTTTACCATGCTATTGAAATTGGTAAAATGGCCCACTTAAAATTTGCTTTCACCGCAGCATAAAGTTTAATTCTTGTCACGAACATATTATTAGGTGTCTGTGTTCTAGCTGTGCTCTTTTTGCACAAAAATTAGACTAACTTCATTTACCTTATCATAGGTCTAAAATTGTAACCTTAAAAAAACAAATTGTAACCTTAAAAAAAACCATTAAAAAATAAACAAATTGATATTTATTGATCATAATACCATGAAAATGGCCCTTGACTATAGCGAGAATTATCGATTTGGTCCTTGGTTAACATTTTCATAGTTAGAGCAACCACTCTAACTTTGAAAATGTTAATCAAGGACCAAACTGGAGCAACCACTGTATCGGCAAATTAAAAAGTGTTTAGTTGCCCTGAACTTTTTATGAAAACGTTGAGGTTGATCACCCAACGCCATTTGAAAGTAGGCGGAGGACCTACTGGGCCACCTGCATATCCGGCACCCACTACTAAGCCTTCAATCCCACCTTCTAACCACTCATATGAAACCAACGAACTCCAAGCTCTGCTGCTGCAAATCTTCACGCCGCTGGAAAAAAGATGAAGATCGGAGAAGATATCCAGTCACCCACTACTTCAGAATGCTCTGCTCTGCCCTCGCCGAAGCTGTCCACGCCGGAGACAGAGGGGATCGCCGTCGCTGCCTCTCTCCAGAAAACACGCAGTCGCCGGGGAGATCTCCGTCAGCTCGCCACCTACTGCTGCCGACTCCCGTCGTCGACCAAAGGGGAAAAAGGATTGAGGACAGATGCTGCCTAGTCTCGCTGCTCACCAAGCTCGCCGAAAGGATGCCGCCCATCGCTGCTGCTGGTCGCCGTTAGATCTCAGAGGTTGCTTTGGGCATGTGCGGTTGGGTGAAATGGGATAGGAAATTAGGAATCTGCTCACCGCCAGTTGACATGAAGAAGGTGGAGAAAGTGGTAGTGAAATTCCCACACTACCCCTACATTTAACGTAAGAATAAGGGTCAAATAGGCCATCGAACTGCATATCAAAGTGTATTTAGGCCATCAAACTCAAAAACAATGCAATTGGGTCTCTAAACTACACAAAATCATGCAATTAGGTCTAAAATGACATGTTGACCTTAAATTGTGCTGAAGTGACGGTTACCAATTTGAAAAATAAATTTTAAATATAATTTTAAACAAAATAATTAATTAATTAATTAAAAAAAAAAAAAAAACTAGAACTGCCGGAGACGAAGGGATGGTCTCCGGCCATGGAGACGAAGCCAAAGCCTTCGTCTCCATGGCCAGGGAGACGAAGCTTCGTCTCCTGGCCATGGAGACGAAGACTGCCGGAGACGATTCGTCTCCGGCAGTTTAGTTTTTTTTTTTTTTTTTAATTATATAATTTTAATTAATTATTTTATTTTAAAATATATTTACAAATTATTTTTAAAATTGGTAACCTGCATTTCAGGTAACAGGTCATTTTGGACATAATTGTATGATTTTATGTAGTTCAGGGATCCAATTGTGGTATGCAATTCAGTGACCTATTTGACCCTTATTCCTTTAACGTATGTTAAACGGCTACCCAGTTAAAAGACCAAATTAGTTAACATTTTCATAATTGGAGGACTTAATTGGGTAACAAAAATAGTTTAAGGACCAAATCGGTAATTCGCTATAGTCAGGGGACCATTTTGGTAATTAACTCTAAAGAAATATGAGGATGGAGATGAAGCACGTCACCCCAAAAAGTGGGGTCCATCACATATCGAACGCAATCCTCAAAGTTGAACCCAGAATTTCATAGGAGCTGCTGAGCTTCAATTTGTGAAGAAGCAGTCCACAGAAATGGCATCACCACTCTCATCGTCTTTCCTCTCACTCTCAACAACACATACACCCCAACACAATCAACTCTTCTTCTTCACTAATCGCATTCATACCTCCACAATTTCCCACAAACCAATCTCCTCCTTCAAACTTCAAGCTGCAAAGCTTCCTGCCGGAGTATCTCTCTCTCTCTCTCTAACAAATACACTTTTTTCGGTTTTTTTTTTTTCTTTCTAACTAATGAATTACTCGATTCCTTGAAGGTGGAATTGCCCAAGGAGCAGCCAAAACTTGAGCCCCCATTTCTGGGTTTCACCAGAACTGCTGAAATATGGAATTCCAGAGCTTGCATGATTGGTCTCATTGGAACCTTCATTGTTGAACTGGTCAGTCTCTTCTATCAATCTTTAAATGATTTTCTTTCCTTTTTGTGTACTGCTTATTTTTCCTGGATAATTAGTCTCTGCATTCTCTGTCTGTGTTTTCAGATCTTGAATAGGGGAATTCTTCAGCTTATTGGAGTGGATGTTGGGAAAGGCCTTGATCTTCCCCTATGAGTATTGGGGTGTTTTTGCCTTGTAACACCACTGTATTTCATTCATGCCATCACATATGTAATTCTGAAAACAAGTTAATATTATTATACTTCAAAGATTTCAAATAACTTTGTATTTTCTGACTTGTAATAAATACTGATGAACATGTTTTCTGTATTTCCATTATTTTTCGATAGAAAAAAGAAAACAAACAAAAAAATGATCTAAATGACCCTGCATATTCTGGTATCTATAACAGCCACTTTGGAAGAAGACTCAGAAGGTGGTTCCAGTGCTTCAGCTAAGGATAATCTGGGATTTTTCCAGGCAGATTCTGCCCAAAGCTTTATTCTCTCCCCTTCGGCTTTTCTATTCTGTTGCAGACACAATGTTTCTGCATAACCACCTATACAAACAAATCAACGAAGTCCATTAAGCGATCTAACAGCGAAAATATCATCAAATGGCTTGTCAAGTTATGATCGTAGCTCTATGGACGAAAAGTTGAGTGTGGGTGTAGTGACCCAGCAAATACCCGGGTTTGAATCCTCAATGGGGGAGGATCTCAGCCTTGGGGCAAAAAGCAAGCACTCAGACCCTGCCTCACTGAGGCACATCCCGCAATTTACCTTCTCTCACAATCCCAAGGCAGGGGGTGAGGGGCCCTCACGTTTAGGGGCTTATGAACATAGAATAACTAGAACAGATTGAAAAACACTGTCACTGTGTATCTCGAAAACAAATGTACAAATTACCTATTTCAAGAGCTTGGATATCTTAATATCTTTTCAGTCCTTGGAACTAGCTCAAACCGAAAATTTCTTGCAGGTTTACTAATCGAATGCATGAAATCTGCTAATAGTTTTTGCAGTATGGTGAATCCAGAAACATTTACTATATGAATGTATGCAATCTGCTTATCTCGGTTTAAGTTGTAATGTGCACATTATTAAAACAAATAAATTGCCTTAACTAATTATGGGCAGGGTAGTTTTTTAATACAAATCGCTGTATTAACTGATTTCGGGATAGGTTCAAAATATAGACTCCATATTATGTCTTTTTTGTTAAACACGGCTTAGCGCCTTATAACTGAATGCAATTAATAAGTGGAGTACCTCTCGCAAGGGCAATTATATCTCTTCTGCAAGCCTTCTCTTCAGCACCTGTAAGCACAGATCGCACAATTCAAGATTTCAGTTCTAATGCATCTTTTATACCCTCTGTCCCAAACAACTGTCATGAGAAGGAAAACACATATATAGGAAATTGTATTTAATACTCCACAAACCATTTAATATCATTGGTTATTTGCAATTTTTCATATTTCCCCTTCATAAGTTTACCGTTTAATTGAACTTTAATTATGGAGTACAACTTAAGAAGGATATTGTAGGAAATGAACCCATAAAAACCATTGATGAAACTTTAAAAGGACATCTAGAATTAGTCATAGGATAGGTTTTGAGAGACGGCATATTAGAAGGTAAGACATATCCGTACTGTGTGTTCATACCTTCAGTCTCCAGTGGAGGAGCTTTAAGCAATTCAATTGCCCTTCTGTAAAGTCCCTGGATAACATATCAAATAACAGAAACGCATTCAACTAACAAAAATTAGCCATAGCATCAAATTGTAAAATTAAAGAATATGAATTCAAGTCACTTCATTTAAACGGATTATTTTCAATTGATCTAAAATAGCAGCAGTATGAACATGAAATTGAAACAGGGAAATCCTTACGGAAATCATTTACGTAGTTTCTAACCTCTTGAATTAAAAGAGAGCTCGATTCCTCAACTGTTGATTTATTTCGATACATATGAACTACGCAGGTTAAAATAACACCAACTTTGGGATGACGATCACCTATGCCAGATAAAGTAAAACAGAATAGCTAAATAACACGCTATTATTCTTCTCTCAGAAAACGAAAAAATTGAAAAAGGGGGGTGGTCAAACCAAAAGTTTCTTCCGCTTTCACCAGTGCTTCAGTTAGCATCTTCTCTGCTTTGTCAAAGTTCCTAAAGTTCAAGCATAAGGATCATAATGATATCACTTACAAGCTGGCTGCATATATTACAAGCTTACCCCAAATGAGCCTCAAGCTGTCCTAAAGCACAAGTAGCTCCTAATATAACATCCTCGAAATTCATATTACAAGCTGATAACTGATGTAGATAACTAGAACTTTTGCCCAAAGATTCCTCATGAATCACTCTTGTGTACAATTGCTTCGCCATTTCAAAATCCCCCATACGGTGAAGGAATTCGCCATAAGATAGTGCAGCATTGCCAATAAATTGATCCAATACATTAGAGGAACAGTCACCATCCCGAACTTCTGGAAAGAAAGATGCCGCTGGAAAGAAATCCATGTTAATAATACCATAGAGAAATGAGAAACACACTCAAGAAAATGAACAGGCTAGACAATCTGTCATTTCTTACCTGATTTAGTATCACCCCGGACCAATTCAACAAGACCTTTTAATGCCCTTGAATGATCTTCCAAAGCCTCAAATCCTGCACTGCCAAGCTCTAGCCTAATGGTTTCCAAGAGTCGCAAGCATACATTCACAATTACTGACGAAGCATCATCCTACACAGGGAAAGAAAAAACGAAATACCATTCATAAAAATACAAAAAAAAAAAAAATGCAAACTTTTACTTGATTATGATCAACAGTTTCATAGAGGTTTACTTGACCCAGTTCTAAATGAAGTCCAACAAGTGCCTCCGAGGCAGCAACTACAACAACGGCCATAAGCTATCAATAGCAATTAGCAAAGTTGTTGGCCAGTAAATAACTAAAACCGGTTTATTAACTTAACTATACAATAATAACGATTACCTCTAACAATTGTTGAAGACGAGCTTAATTGTTGAATTTTCTGAAGTTTCTCAATTGCTTCTTCATAATTCCCACTGAACACCCATTAGGAAAGAAGAACAACAGGGCAAGAAATGATGAAATTAATACAAATTCAATTAATAAAAAATATATATACTAATGAAAATTGACTATCAGAAAAATGTTTGTTTAAGAAGAAGAAGAAGAAACCTATTATATAATAATGTAGACATCGCGAGTAAAACCATCCCTCTAGCATTCTCATCGGAGTTAGTAGAGTAGCACTGCTCCAACACCAACTGAGCTTGAGCATACGCATCATCTATATTTGTATAGATTTTTTTTTAACAATCTTTAAAAATATGATTAAAAAAAAAAAAAAGGATGATGGAAGAAAATACCTGATTTTTTAGAACGGGCGAGAGAGAGAGCGTAATTTGTCATCTCAAGAGCAACAGGGTTAACCTTGAAAGATCTGTCTAGGTCGGTTTTATCCGAGAAAACTCTACGCGGCGGTGGCGCCGCTACTGCTGGTGGCCGGAGAAGAGCGAATGCAGAGCCAAGCCTTCTGGCTCTGCAGAGCTTATCTCCGATTCTAATCATGGAGCTGGTGGTGGTTATTTCTCCGTCTTCCCCCTCTGCTGATCACTGCAGGGAAAACAAAAACCCTAAATTGCAATCAAAGGGTTTATCAAAATTTCCACCTATTTTTCCTACATGTTCTATTCTATTCTCATCTGTAAAGATACTGCAACTCAAATGAAGAAAAAACAAAAAACAAAAAACAAAATCTTTTCCCATTAAAATAAGGTACTTATAGCTTGGAAATCCTAGCAAATTATTTGTGATAAACTTAATTTTGTACTTGATGGCAAATATTTACCTTAGAATTGGTAATTGCTTCCCTTATTTGGCAAATATTTACCTTAGAATTGGTAATTGCTTCCCTTGTTTTTTTTACCCAAAAAATATGGCACAAGTAAACAGGTTTATTAGCACAGTTTTTATTTTGAAAATTAAAAATATTTTTTTCTTTTTTCAAAAAAATTGAGAATTTTTAAAAAGTATTTTCTAAATGAAAAATAGAATATATATCATTTATTTGGTTATATATTAGTACAACCATATTTTCACCATTATTTACTCACATTTTTATTTATTATTAATTTATCATCTTCTTTTACTTATCATAATCTTTTATCTTTTCTACTCGCATTTATTTATATAAGCATAACTTATTTGATTACGATCAAAGTTAGACATTATTCACAATATCACAATTAGAACATGAACTCTACATCAAGTTTTAAATTTTGATTGAACTCAATAGATTATTCAGATATTTTTAGTTATGTTATATTGTAATATAAGTTTGGTCTGGATATAAATTTCACATATACTAAAGTTTAAAATAAAATTTATATATACATTTAGTCAACTTAATAGGTTATTGGTTTATATATATTTTTCATTATGTTAAATACGAATATAAATACATATATGCACTCGGAATCTAATTGAGTAAGAGCATCTACATTAGAGAAGATTTGGAGGTTCATGTCAGATTAAAGGAAGAAGACTGACGCACACCTTGCGCCCACAGCGGGCGCGTCAGAGTGGCCGCCAGCTAGCGACTTCAGTAACTTTTACTGTTTTTTTAAATGTCAGATTTTTTTTTTTTTTTCACTCACTTGATTTTCTCTTTCCTAATCACACTTACAAAAATCGTAACGAAATTAAACTATTATGGTTGCTATAATATATTGGTTTAATTTGAAGGTAATTAACTTTGTATACAAGTTAATTTACTTTCTCATGTGCTTGCAGAATAAACTTTAATATGATTCATGGCTAGCTGAGGAGGAAATTGCCCTAAAGCCCCCAATCCAAAATACTTTTGCTTTGCATAATAATAATAAAGATTGCTTATATAATATTAAACAATGATTCATAAGCCAGCATAGCAGCATCACGCCTCGTACATTATTTGTATATACTTTTATTTTTTTGGTCCAAATATACTTTTATTTATTCTGCTTTTGTTTTCCTTCTTTTTTAAAAATTATTATTAAAAAAAAAAAAGAATTGTATTTACATATCTCATATAAAATATTTTATATTCAATGAATCGATATAATAGAGTGATAAAATACAAGTTTAAGAAGTGGGATCCACGGGAGCAAGTCCATGACAACCAGGCTGACTCGAGGTCTAGTCTTGTGGGCAACATAATTGGAGGCAATTTTAACAGTCAGAAACAGACACTCCTTTGTTCGCGTTATTTCGTCCATTTCTTTAACTTGAATTAATTAATATGGACCCTGTTTTAATTATTTTCACCATTGAGTAATAAGCAAGTTGATAGTGTTTTGGATTGTAGATCTTAATAGAAATGAAATGAAAGAGTCTCTCAAATTGGGGTTTTAATGCAAATCACCAAGAAATTTACATATTGTCTCAAAAACTGTTCCAATTCTATCTTGAAGTATTATCACTCCCACTCTCAAAACTCAAAAGTACTAAGTGATATCATACTCTTTTGCATATAGGCTAGTAAAACTGATTTCTTTTGTTTCCTGGCTTTATCTTTTGACATATAAATCTATCAAATAGTAGTGGCACATATCCCCTGAAGCAAGTAATGCACATATACCCTTTCTTATCAAAAGCAAAAGCCAAGAAAAAGAGGGGAAATGGATAAACAAAATCTTCTGCAAAAAAGAGAATATTGTTCTCTCCACAATGCTTTCTGCTTTAACACCATATATAAGACCTCCCAGGACCACCAAAGGATGTCAAGTCTCTTCAGTTTATCTCATCTCCATCTACAATAGCTTCACATTGAATTGAAAAAAGAAAATGATAATATCGTCCTATTTTTTGTCCATTTTGTTCTGCATATTCTTCCTTCTTGTTGACACAAGTAAATTCCAGTTCAGTTCATAATCTTTTGCATTGCTATTCAATGAAGAAACTGAATTATTTTAGTTTTTTTTTTTTTTTTGGAGCAGATGGGAACCAGATCATAGTAGTTAACAACTGCAATGAAAGCATTTGGCCAGGAATTCTTGGGGGAGCAGGGCAGCCGACTCCGAAAGATGGAGGCTTTCATCTGAGCAGTGGGGAGGAAGTAGTCCTGGACGTACCTGAGAAGTGGTCAGGGAGGATATGGGCGCGCCAGAACTGCTGCTTTGACGAGAATGGGAAAGGCTCATGCGACACAGGGGACTGCGAGGGCCAGTTACACTGCCAGGGGAGGGGCGGGGAGCCACCAGCCACGGTGGTGGAGATGACACTGGGAACATCCACCTCCCCCCTGCATTTCTATGATGTCAGCTTAGTAGATGGCTTCAACTTGCCCGTTTCGATGAAGCCGGTTGGCGGGGGGATAGGGTGTGGCGTGGCGTCCTGCGAGGTTGATCTCAACATATGCTGCCCTTCTGCACTGGAAGTGAGGGTGGGTGGGAAGGTGGTGGGGTGCAAGAGCGCCTGCTTGGCAATGCAGTCTGCCAAGTACTGCTGCACTGGCCAGTACTCGAACCCCAAAACCTGCAAGCCCACGCTTTTCGCAAATCTGTTCAAGGCCATTTGCCCCAAAGCTTATAGCTATGCCTTTGATGATTCCTCTAGTCTGAACAAATGCAGGGCTTCTAGATATGTGATCATCTTCTGCCCTCCAACATGAAGGCTGGCAGCCTGGCAAGACATGAAAGTGTTGAGCATTTTATGTAATTCTCAGACATCATTCATGCTGATAATGTTGTACTGGTTTTTGATAAAAAGTTACAGAGTAGTTTCTTACTAGATGTGTAGACAGATGTCATTCTTCTTCATCATGACCTGTGAAAGAAGTACCAAAGAGTCCCATGCCAAAGCAGCAACTGGATTAAACAGAAACATTATGACATTGTGTGACCAAAACATTCAATGCACTGAAATATTTCATAAAACAAAGCTGGTAATACAACTGGGCCAGACAAGAAAAGGTTATATTCCATGAATAGATGCAATATTTTACATGGTCTCAGACATCATAGTCGAATAGTACAAACTAGGAACTTCATGTGGAAGGATTTGTATCTTCATCTCTGACCATGGATCCATTGGAGCTACTTTGTGCTGAAGCATCATCTACTGGAGGGACCCAGTCCTAGCAATAGCGGGGTCTCCTTTTCAGTACTAGCCTTTGTATCTGTATTCCTATTTGCTGCCCAAGCCCTAAGAGGCGGTTCAAAATGCTTACTGGCAACGTCTGGTGGTGGTTCATCTTCCCCTGGGAGAACAAGGAGTCCCTTCTCACGAAGGGAAGATGGCTCATTATAGCAGGCACTCCAAAGGGAATCCACCAGTTGCCTTTCCTCTCTCGCAGCACCGAGATCTTCAGGGGACATCAAGCTGATCCCATCAATTCGTTGTTGTAGTAATTGTTTGAGTTTCTCATCGTCCACTCTTAAAGAACCATCTGTTTGTCCTGTGTTGACCCGTGTCAGCTCAAGAAGGCCTTGAAGTGCACCCTCTCTTACCTCCCCATCCTCACTGGAGGCAAGATGCATCAGAATGCGGGGGAATCCTAGCTCAGTGACAACATTGCAATCTGAATGATTCTCACGCAGCAAGTAATGAAACAAGTTCAGGGCTTTCCTACAAAAGAATGCATTTCAAAATGATACATAAGTAACTTTCAAAGAAGCCACCATAACTCTTTAATTATCATTTTCCTTCTTTTGTACAAAGTTGAAAACAAACAGGAAAAAAGACCACAGTTCACCATGTATCAAAAGAGTACCTTTGAAACCTCGCGCTCTCAGAACCTAAAGCATCTCTCAATGCTGCATAACCATTTGCAAGGCGGAATGCAGCAATCCCAGGTTTATTGTGCCTGATAAGAGCTGCAAGATAACCCAGAAGGCAAGAGAAATGTGAAAAATAATGTCAGAATCAAACTTAGTAAAAATTATACGCAACAATGAAACTTTTAAACAACCATATTCCATAAAGATTGCAGGTAGTCATTTGAAATACTGACATGTAAGATAAAATTAAAACCAGAGAAGAGACCTACATGAGATGGCACTCAGAGCCTTTGTGCGAACAGTAACATCAGCATCTGAAGTAAAATTTGAGAGAAGGGGCTCTAGGCCATTAGCTTCCATCACCAGTTGCTGGCTCCTGGGATTGTTCTGAACAATTGTACTTACAACTTCTGCAGCCTTAGCTCTGATATTAGCATGGGAGTTCCTCAAGTAACCAAGGAGAGGCACCAACCCACCAATTGAATGAAGATCTTACAAAAAAAGAGTCAGAGAAAGGTATAAGGCAAACTGCAAACAGATCTAGCACACAGAACAATGCTAACCATATATTTTACATTGATTGAAACTCACCATTGGCCATGTCAATGGACTCGACATGCTCTTGCAGTTCATCCAACATATCTGCAAAAATTTATGAAGCCCATTGAACATACTTTGTAGAATAAAACATGCAACAGACTCTTTATTTAAAGAAAGTAAAACGCTAGAGATCAAAGACAGGAATTCCAATAGCCCCATACCTTCAATATCCTGGGGAGTAATCCCTTGTGACTCAAGCACCTGCTCTGGAGTTTGCATTACAAGAGAAATCTCCTTCATTCGCTTCAAGACATCAACAGTTTGAGCTTGCATAGCCTCCATAAACCATTTCCGATCCTCCTCACTAATCAAGAACATCAATTACCCATTATCTTCCCAGTATTACAAAATCTTCCCCAACAAGAAAGTAACTTTAAAGCCATAGTCTGGTTGATTAATTACTACTTCTGACCCATTTTACTTATTTTCTTCATTGTTTATTTGTCAAAACAACTCTTCTTTCTTGTTTTTTTATAAGACTTTTAACTTTAAAATATATAAATTTTATTCACTAATACTAAACTAAATATTAGAAAAAATAAATAAATTTTTAGATGTTTTGGTTCAAGCCTCCTGATTCCTTAACCGCCGAAACAGACACAGAGAACTATAGAAGGCACCAATGGAACAGGGAGAGTAGCATTTAAGCTGTAGAGATTCCATAGACTATACTGTGAAGATGAAATGTTTCCTTTTTGCATTCATTACTACATTTTAAGCTGTTAAAATTGCAGATTCCCAATAGCATACAGTATGAAATTGAATATTTTGCATAATCACTACCATAAGCAGTAGAAATTCACATACATACACAACACAATATCATATACTTCAAATCTTTTCAGGACAAATTTCAACCACGCAGCACACACAATCAATATCCAATCGAAAACAGAATTTTCATGACGTCACAACGATTGCAACAAAATAACCATAGTTACCTCAGGTTACGAGAAGAGTGAGTACCATCAGCATGGGAGAGACTCCATTTAAGCAAACCCTCCCAGTTAGGTCCCTCTTTCGCCATTTATATTCAGCTGTAGTATCAAAAACCCTAATGAAGTGTTTGAGAATTCAATGGGAGCAAAAAGAAAATAGAATTGTAGGAATGAAGATTATAGTTATATAGACACAGATCGCGCTCAAGTGCTTTTGGATCGAGAAGTTTCTGGAGCTTTAAGAATAATCCAGTGTTTTCGGGCGACGGACGACTGGGCGATGAATTGAGGAAACACGTACATGCTGTACAGCGTGAACTCTGCAGAAGCTCGTAAAAGATTGGGATGGGCCTAAATCTGTAAACCCAATTTCCCGTATTAAAACTTCAAGGAGTTCAAGCCTGTTTAGCATGGCAAAGCATTTCCAAATCCAGACGTTATGCCATGGAACCGTGTTCACCATGAATGGTGAATGGTGAACACGGTTCTAACGGTGTTAGTACACCGTTATTTTTTTTATTTTTTTTTTAATTAATTGCGTGACTTTTTTTTTTTTATTTTCACATTTTGCGGTTTCACTTTAATTTGAGGTGAACAAAGATTTCGGACATTCATAAATTATGAATTCATGCCTGCACATTCACTTTGGAACCATGCCTACACATTCCCGTCTGAAATCACGGACATTCATAAATTATGAATCCATGCCTGCACATTCACTTTGGAACCATGCCTACACATTCACTTTGGAACCATGAGATTATGAATTTTCTGTTATAAGATTATGAATTTTCTGTTATGAGATTATGAATTTTCAGTTATGAGATTATGAATTTTCTGTTATGCGATTATGAATTTTCTGTTATGCGATTATGAATTTTCATTACATTCATAATTCCGGACATTCATAAATTATGAATTCATGCCTGCACATTCACTTTGGAACCATGCCTATATATTCCCGTCCGAAATCATGGACATTCATAAATTATGAATCCATGCCTGCACATTCACTTTGGAACCATGCCTACACATTCACTTTGGAACTATGAGATTATGAATTTTCTGTTATAAGATTATTAATTTTCTGTTATGAGATTATGAATTTTCAGTTGTGAGATTATGAATTTTCTGTTATGCGATTATGAATTTTCTGTTATGAGATTATGAATTTTCATAAAATTCATAATCTCATAACAGAAAATTCATAATTTGATCAAACGCGCGCCGTTAACTCCACATCCGCGAATTTTTTTTTTTTTGGCCTAAAAACGACGTCGTTTTGCCTTGTATTCACCATTCTCGGTGAACACGATTCCATGGCATAATTTGCGTTCCAAATCCCACCCGGCAAATTAGGCCGTGAGCAAGTTTCCACGGTTCCATATCCATAATTTCTATATTATAAAATTATAATTTCTATACTATGGGTTCATAATTGTAAGGTGGGCTCGTGTTCACAGCATAATTTGTCAGTTTATGTGTATTATGATCAGAGTTTTAGAGTTTATATTATTATGTATTATGTTAACATTATGTGTATTATGTTAGAAGTTTATGTGTATTCTACTCTACAATTATGTACATACGAAACAAAAGATTCACAATGCATTGTGCGCCCTGATGCACGATATAACAATTGATCCCACCCTGCTTCAAACCTGTTTAGCAGTACACGGTCCACATTTATGCACTCGTTATATCGTGCACCAGGGCGCATAATGCATTGTGAATCTTTTGTGTATTCTATTAAGAGTTTTTGTGTATTATGTTAGAAGTTTGTGTTTTCTACTATACAATTCTGTACATACGAAATAGAAGTTTTTTTTTTTTTTTTTTTTAAGTTAACGACATAAATGGAAAACGAAATTTTTAAAAAAAAAATATTGCAAAACGACATCGTTTTGGATATTGTGCGCCCTGATGCACGATATACTTTGCCGTATTTATGTTTAATGGGCCATTTAGAAACTTATCTCAAATATGTCGGTTGGTTGAAGGGAATTTAAATTTCCTTCCCACTTAATTCCCACCTAATTCCAAAGGCCACAACATTTTCTTGTTTGGTTTAAAAGAACTGCAATTCCATGGAATTGTAATTCCCCCATTTTCATGGAATTAAAATCTCATGTCCCTGCTTTCAAAAAAAAAATCTCATGTCCCTCCTTGGGATTTTAATTTATGGGATTTTATGAAGAAAAAAAGATAGTGATGAGTTAAAATTGGCAATGGGGCGAGGTGGGTGCGGGAGATATATCTCCCGCTCCCGCACTCGCATTCCCAACCCACTCCCCACACCCGCGCAGGTAATGAAATTCATACTCTATACCCGTTCCTGCGAGGATTTTGCGGGTGCGGGTAATACCAAACCCGGAACTCTAATTATTAATATTACACTTAAATCTAAGAGTAAATACTCAAAATGGTCCCTCGACTATAGCTAAATTTACAAATTAGTCCTCGACTTTTAATTTCAACCAATTAAGTCTTTAACTTTGTAATTTTAACACAATATGGTCCTCTGTCTATTTGACCGTTTGTTGACTGTGATTTTTGAGGATATATATGTAATTTCATGGTCCATCGTCGGTTTTTTAAGGTTCTAGTTGCATTTCCAGACCGCACTGTTACATTTGAATCCACTGCCGAAAGCAATCTACCAAATCCGGTCGCCTTTCTTCATCCTCTCTTTGAATTCAATGTAGTTGAGTTCGTACCAGAGCGAAGAAGACGACGTGTTTCCAAACAAGTGCAACGTCATTCTGGAGGCCTCCACGTGCTCCGACGAGAGCTGAAGGTTCTTCTGGAGATCGTCGATCACGGTCAACAACCGGTCAAATAGATGGAGGATCAAATCGTGTCAAAATTACAAAGTTAAGGACTTAATTGGTTGAAATTGAAAGTCGAGGACCAATTTGTGAATTTAGCTATAGTTGATGGACCATTTTGGGTTTTACTCTAAATCTAATAACAAATTTCCCCATAAGAGTCAATGAAGTTAATCCTTAATTGGAACTAACATTGTGTTAGTAGTATAACTTGTATTAAGTGTTTACTCATTATGTTATTTTTGTTGTTCATACTCAATTTTTATTAACAGACAACTAAGAAGTTTAATTCATTATACATTTTTAATTATAAAATATACATAAACTTATATAAAAAATGAATACTAAAAACAATATATATAATTGCGAGTGCGGGGCGGGGATACCTCCTCCCGCACCCGCCTCCGCCTCCATACCCGCGAGTGTATACAAAATTTCCCCATACCTACCCCATTATCTAAATTATGCGAGTATTTTAAAACCCCGTGCAGACATTTAAAAATTCTTGTGACGACACAGGGAGGAAGGTGATGAGAGTGACTTCCGTGCACTTAAAGCATTTCAAATGCATTGTCAAATATTTTTAAAATAGAGTTAATTCCATCAATAGTCCTTCTATTATTGTAACTTTTCAAATTTGGTCATAATTTTTTAATTTAGACAAAATAAACGTTTGAGTATCAAAATTGTTCCACCATTGATCTTTTATGTTAGATTTTAGATATAGATGTTAAGTAAGGGGTAAAAAATTCATTTCCATAATTAAATCTTTCTTCCCCTTCCTGTTCGACGAGTCTGCCCTTTAACCAAGAGGACCCAAATTCAGAGCTCAAATCTAGGAATACAGAACCCTTTAACATCTAAATTCTTAAATCTGTGTATCTGTGATCTGTTGCTCCTCAAACTCGGCCAAATTTGACGGTCGACGACGAAGCGTCGGCGACGCCGCCGCCGCCTCCCCTGCGAATCTTCGAAGAAGACGACAGCCGCCGCCGCCGCCTCCAGCAGACGACGACGACGCCCTCCCCTGCGAATCTGCGAAGAAGACGACAGCCGACGCCGCCGCCTCCAGCCGATGCCGACGCCGTTCTCCCCTGCGAATCTGCGAAGAAGACAACAGCATATGCCGCCGCTTCCTGCCGCCTCCTCCTCCAGTCCTCCCATGCGAATGCAAATCTGGGTATGTCTTCTTCATTGAGTTTACTCACTGATTCTACATCGTGAAGGCTCCCATTCTTAATTCTTCGACTAAAATCTACTGTATTTAGAATTTTGGATTGTGAAGGCTTCAATTTGTTCCATCTAAAGCCGTGTGAGGGCACTGTAGCAGTGAGTATGAATTTCGAATTTTGGATTGTTAATTTGTTATTGAGGTGCGGCACTGTAGCACTCTGCAAATGGGGTGGCCGGCCGGCCGGGGGTTAGAGAAAGGGCAGTAGAGTTTTTTGTTAAGACTGGGTGGCCATGACAAGGGATAGAATAAATTAAAGCAATATATAAATGGGTCCGATAGGGCGGCCGATCCGAAAGTGAATCGGAGTAGCAGATCAAAGGAAGAAGCCGGGGAGGAAATGGTGGATCTATGGGGGGTTTCAGAAGAAACCGAGGGAATGACTCTTTTACCCCTTAACGTCTATTCAACTTTTGATTAACTGAAGGACCAATGGCGGAATAATTTTGATAGTCTAAGGGTTTATTTCGTTCAAATTAAACGACGAACTAAATTTGGAAAAGCACAATAGTCGAGGACTATTCGAACTATTGCTGGAATTAACTATTTCTAAATACATAATCATAATGACATGAGAAAAGAACATGATGGAAATTAAGTATTGCCAAATATTTCTAAATGCATTATTAAACATTTTTAAATGTATAATCCTAATTACAAAAAAATTATAAAAATAACATCTCATTTTTTTTTCCCATTGATTTTCAATTTTTGATCATGTTATCCAAGCAAAGTTCAGACTAAAATTCACCTCAGTGAATAAGAGCCGTCACCATTACAGATTTACAGCTCTGCTTGGCATTGTCTATGCGCTCCGACAAGGTTCCCGGAAGAGTTGTTCTGCACAACACCTACCGTCAAACCCGTCGCAAATACCCTCAGATATCAGGCCCTGGTCCTCCAAGATCCGGCCTTGAAACTGACCATAGCCAACATCCAAACCAAAATTGTGATTGCTATCACAATTCAACTCAATTTTTGTTTTATTTGTTTGATTTTTTATTTTTATTTTTTGTTTTTTCGCTCTGACGACGACGTTGGTATTGAATCTTCTGGTTTGATTTGGCTTATTTTAACATTGTGGATTTCTTTTGGATGATTTGCATTGTAATTCAATCCCCAATTTTGTTAGGGCTTAAGTTCGGTGAAAGATAAATCTGTCAAACTAAAGCAAGTGAAACAGATCATCGCGTTGAACTCAGTGTAAGAACTCTCTCCCACACTCATTCCTTTGTTCTTTATCTTTATATGTGTTCCTTTCCAAAGTAACACTTTGCTGGACACTTGAGAAAAATGCAATGGTAGGATGAGCAGTTTATACTTCTACAAGAATGTTGCTTGTAATTACTCTGTATTTGGGCAGCAAACTCCTTCGAGACGAAACAACTGAGTTGCATTTTAATCTTAGTTAATATCTTCTGTTTTATGTTCTCCTTGACTCTTCCTTTTTAATTTTTATCCTAAACCTCTTTTTGCTTTTTATGCAAACTCCTTTGATTTTAGGCTTATAAATACAAGCAGGCAGTACGAGCGGCTAGGTTATACTCTTTCTATAGAAATTATTTATTCATGATCTTTCTTAGGAACAGTAATACAAGTGGCAAACTTTAGGCACTAAACATTCAACTTCAACATTCCATTGTAGTATCAGTGTGCCATTTCAATATCCTATCTTCACTAGAATTTTGAATTCAATATGAGTTTGCATGATAGTCTTATTTTACTGGAAAATAAATCTTTCTTTGACTTATTAAATGGATATTATGCACTCTATGGAAACCAGGCTTTGGGGTTTTCCTCAAATTTTCTGGATCCTACCTGTCAAATACACATTGTGCCTGTGATTTTTGAATTACTTTCATTGGTGTAATCAGTAATCTACTTGAGGACATAGAATTTCCTCAGAATCACCTGTAGCCATTGATTTGCAAGATCCATAAGATTAAATTATTGCTCTTTAAATTTGGTAGCATGAAAAGGTGCTTATGGATAATGTTTTCCCCAATCTTATTGTCTCAATTAATATTCCCCCCTTCCTCTCATAAAATTGAGTTTGAGTGGAGATAGAATAAGATGCAAGATGTGAAATTCATTGAAACATTAAGGTGCAATTCATGAGAACTTATGGTTATTCTTGGTCATGTGTTTTTTTTAAAAAATAAAATAAAATAAAGAAAGAAAGAAATATATAAGCTGCTCAAAATTGTGTGAAATTTTCAATCTTGAATAGTAACACTAAACTAATTCTCCTTGCCCTTCCTTTTGATGAAGCATTGTAGTAGATTAGTTTAGAAAATTTTATGCTGATTTTTGTTTATTCATTTAGATATGCAATGAGAATTCAAGATCTTCTCAGGCAATGCTTTATTATATACATCACATTGGTGCTAATTTCCAACACAGTTTCATGTCTCCACAAGGTTAGTCATCCTATTTTGTTTTGTTTAATTACATAGATATGTCATTTTTCTACCAAAATCATGTAAAAAAAGGCCAGATTATAATAAATCTTGATTCTTGAAATCACTTATAATTTGATGTCAAGATTAAATCACCTCTTGATCACCTGGGTGCCAAACTCTATCAGTGCATCCTTCATTTTAATGGTTTTCCATTATCTACAAACTGAAATATTTATTTGTCTCCATTCCAGGTGGCTCCTTCTCATAAAAAATATATTGCAGATTCGTACTTTAAGGAACACAATAGCTTGACAGATTCAAAATTTGAAGATTATATTGCCCAAGAAATTGCTTATGGATCATGTGAGTTGTTGGAAGAACTCAAAGTTGGGACGAAGATTATATCCTTGCATCAAAAACTGATTGGTGAAGGCTCACATCGTCATCTATCATTATCAATCAGGTTGGAGAGTTTGCTTGAGTCCAAATCTGGATCTCAAGAATTTTGTGAGGCTATAATCATTGAAAGACTACCTTCTGGAGTCTTTGCAGATTTATTTGAGCTGCAACATTTGGTGCAGCGTGGTGGTAAATCACAATTCTATTTTTAATCTGTATTATTAGCAAATGTCGAATCTCAGGATTTAACTATTTTGTCTTTTATTCTGCAGTATTCACTGAAGCTGGTGTATTTGGAGACACAAATTTAGAATTGCCTTCATTTCGGTCAAATCGATCATTGATTGAGGTTCACTTGGATATGGGCTCTAAATTATTGTCAAGGCACAAAGATGAAGTAGAATTTAAAATTGAGCTTCCACTACACGCACGTTATCAGGTACTTCATCTGAAAAGATTCATATGTAATCAAGGATATCTATATATATGAGTATATGACTAATTAGATCTCATGCTAATAAATCATGTAGCTTAATTATTTCCTTCCATTACCATATGCTTTCCTTCTTTGCATTGTTCTACCTCCTAGAGTGGTGTGTATCAAAACCCCAAATAGAAAATGAGCCAAAATTAATGAGACAGAAGTACGTGAAAATGTAATTCTAAGATACTGTTCTCCCAAATACTGCCTACTGAACCATTGATCGACTTTTAAGATACTGAGCCCATGATATTGTTGTTTTTGCTTCCAGCCACTAGGACACGGCTTTTCAAGGGTTGAATTTTGCCCGCCCGATGTATTCATGCAGTGTAGCCTTGAAAGAAAAACCATGGAGAAATGTTTGTTTCCATTAAGCTACCGCAATGGCGAATCTAAAGCTGATGAGGTTGTGTGGGAAATACCTTGTGGAGACAAAGAACATGCAGGAATTGTATCGGCTATTACTTTCATGTCAGCTATTCTATCAGCTCTTCTAATTATCCTTGTATCTATTTACTATTCTGGTAGTAATGATTGTCCTGACTTGAAACAATTGTGAAATGTGGTTAGATTAGATTGTTGTGCTGGTTAAATGCAAATTGAATATAACCGCATAATTTTTTTTCATCCATGGCTAATGAAGGGCGTGCAAATGATTTTGTTTTTTTTTCTATTGCTGGAATTTTTGTTCTATTTTTTAGAAAGTGGATGAATATTTTCACTTATTAGTGTTTGGTGGAAGTTTGAGATCAAGTTGAATATTCTGTCATAGATATATAGTGACATTAGTTGAGTTTGTTAATTTATTACTAATTATAACTTTTGACGGAATAATAATTATTTGATCTAACCAATAATTCAAAGCAATCATATGGTTGAATTTCATTGAAGGAGTGCCCTATTTCTTTTGAGGGAAACAATGAGGGAGCAAAACAAGAAAAGGAGCTCAATCAACGCTCTGTCAATCTGTCAATCTGGGGTGGCGGGGTTTTAGAGTTGGGATTCAACCCTTTAGAAGAAGAAGAGCAATGAAAGAAACCTTGTTTTCTTTTCCTTGCATGAGACACAACAAAAGAATGAAAATAAATAAACATAGGAAAAATTGCTTGAGAAAACACTCCAAAATTCTTTTGTGAAGTGGATGGATGAGGTGATCTGATCAGACGGTTTTGGTTAGCACTTGGGAAGATCTGAAGGTGGTGGCATCAACTTCTGAGTGGGTAGCGATCCGTCTAGCACGATCCAAGCCATCCGCAATCCCCAGCTTGTATGCACATCAAAATGACAGTGCATAAACCACACCCCTATTTCATATAATAAACCATGAAAATATTAGAGTAAAATTAAGTTTAGATAGAGGTGACCCGACAAATTATACCGTGAAAAGTTTATTTTTAAGTAATATATCAAATAATAAGCAGTTAGTACATAAAAAATAAATATTCAAAAATGAATTATAAATCACTATATTAAAAAAAATAAAAATTTAATGACAGTACCCCACTATAAGAAGAGTCATAGAAGTGCCAACCGAGCATAAAATGCTTGGCAAGTGTTATACAATTTAATACCATCATTTTAAAGTTTTTCAAATATTTAGTATAGTATTTAATATTTGTAAACATAATACGATGTATATATACAATTTATAATGTTTTTAAATAATTTATATACATAAATAATTAAGAAAATATAGAACAGATACTACCTTGTAAAAAATCATAACTATTTAAAAAAAAAAAAGAAAGAAGATAACTATGAAAATAAACAAAACCAATAAGTTTCATTAGCATGTTTGGTTTGTGTTGGAGCCAATTATTAATAAAGTTAAAGGATTTAAGTACACATTTAAACATAACTTTGTAAGAGTGACTATCTTATAAATCTTTATCTATAAAATGAGTCTAATCAAAATAAAAATGCAATACTTATATTATAAAATGTATATAGTGCATGCTCACCAGGATTGTCTGCAAAGAAACGAAGGGCAACCCAGCCACCGGCGGGAACTCCAACGGTGTTCCTCTCGACAGGGTCTTTCAGATTAAACCCGGCGGGGTGTTTATTGGGGTCAAAGTTCCCAAACCCTTCACCAACCACGAAGAAATTGAAGCCGTGGAGGTGGAGGGGGTGGTTCTCCGCGCCAAGAATGCTGGTGTCCTGCAACACCACCTCAACGCTGGCGTTGAACGGCAGAGCCACCAGGCGAGTGGCGTTGCTGACGGCGGTGTTGTTGGGCGCCGCGCCGGTGTAGTTGAAGGGGTTGGGCGGGTTGACGGGGAAATCCGTGGTGTAAACGCCGTTATTATTAGATTGGCCGGAGAAGTAGTAGGCCTGCAGGAGCGCCGTGGACGGAAGAGCAAAGGACACGTTGTTCACCGACGCCGCAAACCTGCTGCTATTGTTAGGCCCCTGGCAAGTCACGTTCTTAGCGCAGGGAACCGAGCCTAACCCCACGGTGAACAAGAAACGCTTATTCACAACCTGCGGAACATTCGCCGGAAACTGGGGACTGCCCAAACTCCGAAACTTGCGGGTAAAGTTAGCCACAAAATTGGTGGCGGTCAAAGGCGGCAGGGTGGGTTTAAACACCATTAATTTCTTCTTATTATTATTATTGGTCGGAGGGTTTTGGTATTGGAGGATTCCGGCGACTGTGGAGTTATCAAAGGTGCCTTGGCCGGTGAAATAAGGGCGGGCTTCCATTAAGAAGGCGGCGTTGGGGTGAAAAGGCTTGGTTTTTAGGAGAACATTGGTGGTTTGGCCTGGGGTTATGACCACAACGTCCGTTTCAAATGGTTTTATGTAAGTAGCATCGGCTTCGACTATGGTGACAGTATGGTTTGCAATGCTGAAGAACAGTTCGTCGTTCATGGCGGCATTTATCAGTCTGAGCATATATGTCTTCCCCGGCTTCACCTTCAGCTTGTATGTATCTGCAATCAGATAAGTAAATTGTATAACATGAAACAATTAAGGATCAAAATTGTGATTTTCCATGTGCACACTACTGGAAATTATGGAATTTCCGACCACCTGAAAGTAGTCAAAAGCAAAAAGTGGTCGGAGATAACAACAAAAGTTTTTCGAGATATCAAAAGTGGTGAGAACAAGAATTTTGACAAGATCACTTTCAGGTGGTCGGAAATTTCATAATTTTCAGCCGTGACAGTTGACATTAGAGGCGCATGGGAATGAACATGATGATTAAAGCCAAAAGTAGTCTCACTGCACGTTTTTTAGACCTTTATAATTTGGACTGGGAAAACTGTTCTTCAATTCATAATGCTTGTGAGCTAGTGTGATGATAACAAGTAATAATAATATATACCTTTAGAGGAACAGTTATACAAGGGCCCTGGAAGCCCATTAATGGTGTATGCATCTGAAACATTAGGACCACCTCCTGTTTGAAGTGCCTGGCTAATAACAGCCTCAGGGTCTGCCTTCCACCACTCCCCTATAATAAGGATTGTGCAGTGTCACAAAAAGTTTGGGAAAATGTATTCTCAGAGAGTAAAACATACTTGAGAAAAAAAAATGAATAAAAACAGTGGCTCACTTTTTTCGCTTACAGAGTATAATTATTAGGGGAAAGTTAAAGAAAAGAGAAGCAAGGAGAAAAGGTGATGAACTTTTACCAAATATGATGGGGACTTCTTTATAGGGCTTCTGAAAGGGGTAGGATTCATTGCGCCTTGGAAGAATGATTATTGGTCCATGAAGTGTTGCTCTTAGCCAAGAAATGTGAGCATGCCAAAACAGTGTGCCTCTTTGCCCCGTGATGGTGAAGTTGTACGTGTACGTTTGGTTTGTCTGTATGGGACATTGCGTTACGTATGCTGGTCCATCTGCCCATCCACTTCGAAGCTGCCGAATCCCATGCCTGCATCCCAAACAAACAAAACATGTATCTAGCTTAATGTCCTTCTTAATTACTCCATTAGTTTATGAAACAAAGGTTGTTTTTTTTTGTTGGGCAACCCCAACCAAAACTGGGTAACTTCAACGTCTATTGACCTTATTGATTTGTGCCAATCAACTATGAGCAACATAAACTAGAGGTAGTGGCGGCAGGTTTATCTGGTCATCACTAGAAAAAGAAAAGGTTGAATTGTTTGTTTGTCTTACCAATGAATGCTGATGTTGTTGGAGACAAGGTTCACAACCTTAACCACCACTCTGTCGCCTTCTCTTGCCACCACGCGAGGCCCCGGGAAGCGCCCATTGACGCTAAGAATGCTCTTCGTGCTGCACAGACGCGTCACATTCTTCTGCACAATCTGTTATCACCACCACATACAGACAATCAAAGAAAAACACATTACAAATTTAAGTCTCAACACAAAAAAAAAAAAAAAAAAAAAATAGTTTATTTGTTTCGGAGTTTCCCTACATTAAAAGTATAATGCCTTGTCGCACAGAACCCGAACCGAGGAAACAATGAAAGAAGGAAAAAAACAAAGAGCAAAGCCACCATTGATGGTGAGCTGCATGGATGGCTAAATGCCATCTTTTTTTGCTTAGAATCAGAAAAGAGAACTGGGAATGGGAATGGGAAGGAGAGTGGGATTATATTACTGCTGTATTCTATGAAGGGCTTTATATAGTAATGGGATTAGGTAATAATACTAGGAAAATAGGGCAAGAAAAATTAAAGTGAAATAAATTTTCATGGGGGATTTCATTGTCGCTGATGAGCTCTTGGTCGAGCTGAGTTTTAGAGTGCTGATAAAGTAAGAAATTTCTGTGTACTTTTGTGTCTCTAAATTATATTAAACCCTGATTAGCAAGTGTTTTTCTTTTCAAGTCTTGCGTTAAGATTGGTTATTAAGGTTTGCATTTTTCCTTGAACAGCAATGTTGTATTGTTGAAGTGTTAATTCTTGATGAGAAGAGGATTGACTGTCAGTAATCGCCTGAAAATGTTGGTTTATCCTATTCCTAAACATTCACTTAATTGCTGTTAGTTGGTTCTAGTATAGGTAATCATATACAACAAATTTACTTTCTCTTCACTGACTCTTACAATACAGTATCTGTTCATAACTACTTTATCAAACTATTGAAGCACAAAGAGCCAATATTGCATTCATTGAGACTCAACCCCACGTGCTATTATATGAAATACAATAAATTAAAGCTTTGGTGCTCTAAAGTCTAAACTGGTTTTAGGTAATGTAATATCTTTATCTCTACTTGACCAAGCATCACCTAAAGCAGTCTCCTACAAAGACATCTCCTCAGAAGTAGGAAAAATGGCCTTATTGTGTGCATGGTAACTCCACTCCTGTATAATAGTCACAAACGAGATGTAAATTGTATTAGAAAGAATAATGAACAATTGTTATATCATAATGGACCATGGTCCATATTGCATTGTGAATCCTGCTAGAAAATACGTAACATGGTAATTACAGACACAAAACATGATAACTGTCAACACATAAGTTGTTAACTGAATGTACAAAATATGTTAACTGCAGACACATAACATATGTTAGCTGGTTATGTGTCTGCAGTTAACATATTATGTATCTACGTACAGTACATATTTATGTACCTGCAATTAATAGTTTATGTGTCTAACTATAGTTACCATGTGATATGTTTTCAATTTGTTTACAAATGCATAAATGATTAATTATAAGTACAAAATGTGTCAACT